CGGTTCGTGACTCCAACCGGGACTAATGCCCCCCTTTAGTCCCGGCTAGTGCCACCAACCGGGACCAAAGGCCTCTTTTCAGCAGCCCAAAGGGCGGGAAACGAAGGCCTTTGGTCCCGGTTGGTGGCACCAACCGGGACTAAAGGGGGGCATTGGTCCCGGTTGGTGCCACCAACCGGGACTAAAGGCCATGTGCTGCCCGCGTCGCGGCACGAAAGTTTAGTCCCACCTTGCTACCTGAGGGAGCTCGAGAGTGGTTTATAAGCCCCAGTCTCGCTGCCCTCTCGAGCTCCTCTCAAATGCAGGCTTACGGGCCTAAACGCACTATATGTGCCTGTGAGCCTATTGGGCCTATTGCAGGCCTGAATCCTGGCCCATTGTTGGGTTTCTAGTCGTATTCAAGCTGTAGGTGGCACTTTTTTTATTTTTTATATTTTATTTTGATTTTTCCTGCAGCTGTTTTTTTAGTCCCACCTCGCCAAGCGAGAGGCACTCGTAGCTGTTTATAAGCCCTGAGTGCAGAGACGATGACGAAGAGGCCCAATGCTCCTGCACGTTGGTTAGCTTCAAGCCTTGAGGAATACGGTAGACTGCACAGAGCTATGTGCAGTGCAGTTGACACTATTCCGAAAGGCTTGAAGCAAATTAACAAGCATTGCGCCTCTTTTTTATTTTTAATGACTTATCACAACTGAGAAATAAAAAGAAAAAAATAAATATAGCTGAAAAGAAAAAAACTATATAGAGAACTACTCAGAAATGAATTGAAGCAAAAAATAGTTGTGATTAACTGTACTAAAAAAGGAGCATAGATGCTTATTTTTAATGACTTATTACAACTCAGAAATAAAAAGAAAAAAATAAATATAGCAAAAAAGAAAAAAAAATATATAAAAAGATACTTAGAAATGAATTGAAGCAAAAAATAGTTGTGCTTAACTGTACTAAAAAAGAAGCATAGATGCTTATTTTTAATGACTTATTACAACTCAGAAATAAAAAGAAGAAAAAATAGTTGTGATTAACTTTACTAAAATATGAGCATAGATGCTTATTTTTAATGACTTATTACAACTCAGAAATAAAAAGAAAAAAAATAAATATAGCAAAAAAGAAAAAAAAACTATATAAAAAGATACTCAGAAATGAATTGAAGCAAAAAATAGTTGTGATTAACTGTACTAAAAAAGGAGCATAGATGCTTATTTTTAATGACTTATTACAACTCAGAAATAAATAGAAGAAAAAATAGTTATGACTAATTTTACTAAAAAATGAGCATAAATGCTTATTTTTAATGACTTATTACAACTCAGAAATAAAAAGAAAAAAATAAATATAGCAGAAAAGAAAAAAAACTATATAAAAAGCTACTCAGAAATGAGCATAGATGCGCTTATAGAGGAAATTCAAATTAAATTCATAACAAATTTCAAGAGAAATTCGTATGAATTTAGCCTAAATTCCCTATATAAGGGCATCTATTTTCATTTTCAGAGGAGCTCAATAAGGCAGAGAGGGAGGGGCTTATAAACCGGTCTGATTCCCCTCCGGTTGGCGAGGTGGGACTAAACTTTGACCGCAACGAGAACCAACCCTTTAGTCCCGGTTGGTGGAATGGACCGGGACTAATGGTCGTCCTTTGGTCCCGGTTCAGGCCATCAACCGGGACCAATGGTGGTGGGCCAGGAGCGAGGGCCATTGATCCCGGTTCGTCGCACCAACCGGGACCAATACGTCGAGACGAATCGGGACCAATGGCCCATGTGGCCCGGCCGGCCCCTGGGGCTCACGAACCGGGTCCAATGCCCCCATTGGTCCCGGTTCTGGATTGAACCGGGATTAATGGGCTGGACCGGCTTGGACCATTGGCCCCTTTTCTACTAGTGATGGATGCCGCCAGTGGAAGGTTGGACTAAGCTCAGTGTGGATGGCTCCTTCTGCGCGGACTCTGGGACGGCCGGCACCGGAATTATTCTCCGTGACAGTTGTGGACGTGTCTTGAGCCATTGGAGGCCGAGCTAGCTGCATGCATGCATGGAGGGGCTCAACCTCGCACTACAATGGACTCAGCTGCCTATTGAGATTGAAATAGACTGTCTCACAGCTATCAACATGATCAATGCACCTGATAGAGATAGGTCTAGACATGCTATGTTAATTCATTAGATAAACAAATTGGCGAGGGAAGGGCAAGATGTTAAGTTCAATGTTTTAAATAGCGGGCTATCGCATATAACAGCAACCCTTAAAAACAGCTATAGTTGGGCTATAGCGAGGCTAGGGCGGCAAATTGTACATGAAATCATTTAGCGGCAACATGCTCAAACAGGTATAGCGGGGTTATAGCCGGCTATCTGAAACTATGGTTAAGTTAGCTTACCTGTGGAGAGAGCAAAACCGAGTTGGCCATTATTTAGCTCAGTTTGGTAGAACTGAAGGTCGAACAGTTGTGTGGTTGGGATTGGGACCTGATGAGGTCTCCGAACTTTGTAAGAAGGACCTAGGTCCCGACTGATGAAATAAAATATCCCTTCCACACGCAAAAAAAGAAAAGAAAAATCAACTCTCATTCTGGAGTTTTCGATTCATTGCTATGAAGGAAATTGAAGGCATAAAAAAGAATTCAATGACAATCTATGGAGAAGAAGCCCAAGGGAAGATGAAGCCTGGAAAGCCAATTCGTGTTGATCCCTCATGTACCAAAGCAACACTCTCTCCATGGGCCAAGTGTATGGACCAAAGAAGACTACGATAGGCTTGATTTTCCTTTCGTTCAGGGGGCATTTTGGACTTATATAGAATAGGCAAAATTCCCTTAACTTTTCCCTCCCACAAAAGGCATGGGTATGATGGTCATTTGTACAAGGCCATTTACCTGTAAGACATCCTCAAAGGAATACAAGCTCTCATCCCTCAAGGTGTTGCCTAAACTTCTAGAGGGGCCTCTCCTGACAATTTTGCTGAGATAATTTTTCGAAAGTCCGAAGGAAGTTAGTGTTGCATAATCAAGAACATCGACTATACAACACCATGCAATTGTCCTTGTGCCACACTCTTAATGGGACTACATCCCTCTCGGTCGTGAGTTGCGATCGAACCCGATTAAAAAAAATATCATGTTCCATTCTCTCAAGTATATATCGACCCATTTCAATTGCCATATACGCCAATAACGATGAGCATCCAACTTTTACTTTATGCTGTTTTCACCATAAACAACATTTATGCCATTAGATTAAGATTAGATTGGTTTAATTAGCAGTCGGTCATGTAAATGGGGCATCTCATCGAATGGACAACGTAAAATGGGGGTATTTCATCCATGTCAAAGTAAAAGAGCATAGGGAAAATGGGTAAATTAAGTACAAAAATACATATATATCCCGATTATTTTTCTGGCCCACCACTAAGATATATATTGAACACGTATATCTAGCTGAGAACAGTGAAAGTACGGCACAAAAATACTTTTCATAGCCTCATGAATATTACTGAGTCTTCAGTTCTAGCTTAACTTGCACTTTAAATGGAAAATATATTGTCCACTGAACTAACAAACTGAAATTTCGCTAATGTGGCGGACAAACTGAACAAAGCTACTACATCTGAATTACACATCCAACATTTGCCTCTTTCTCTAGATCATGGAATTACAGATAACACAGTACAAGGAAAATCCAAGCATTGGATAGGGTATCATCAGTAATATAATTTGTTTTACATGTATATATAGTTCACATCTGCTGGCCCTTGTACAAATTTTACTGCACAAACGGTATAAGGAAATACTCTGCATAGAATAGCTGCATGAAAGTGACACAATAAGTGCAAATAATCATTAGGCATATATAGCCAAAGTTTAATGGCTTAGAGAATGCACAATATATGCGAGCAACTTAATTAGTTACCTTCCAAATGAACATGTAAAATGATGTGACACGCGCTTGGTTTTCAACCTCAAGGTGCCGCGCTCTCTGCCAAAGTGTCACAGCAAGCAGGCCATGGCCAGACACCTGGATGATCAAAGCATTTGCAACAATGGAAGATTTCTTAGCTTATAAATTGTTTGTGTCTCTTCCAAATTTTGGATTTTTTCTTTAAAACGGATAGCTCACAGTGATGATCTTTTGAAGTAGGTGTGTGGATGAAGCTCCTACTACAGTGGCAGCCCCATAGGCTGTTAACAGTATGCTTATGCAGAGCTGATACACCTACAGTAGGAAGAATTAAGTTCAAAAGCGATACCAGTTTACAATGGCATATGTTTTACTAGAAACACTTTTTGTGATATGTGGGTCTATTCTTACTCTTTGTGGCCCCAATCTCACACTCAAGGATTGGATGCCAAAATCTCGGTCTCCATCAACATCAGGAATATCCTGAAAGCTCAGGACATAAATAAAAAATATTGTTTGAAGATACCAAAACTAGTAGGTCATTGCATTAATTACCTTGAATAGAGCTATGACGGCAGAGAAGCAACACATGAACAATGTTGCAAACACCAGTGATTTTGTTGCTGCCAAGGGCCTTTTCAGAACATGTTGCTGCCAAATGAATCATCAAACACTAACAAAGAAGCCAAATAAGTATGAATTTCCAGTGCTACTGAAGATATGTACTTTGCTGAGTACCTGCATATGTGCAAAGAAAGCCAACTGGACCAATATAGCCCTCACAAATAGGATACAGGATGCAGCGAGGAGCGCATGCCGTTTCCACCGGAGCAACGGAGCCTGAAAAGGATCAAGTATGAGATGAAAATGATCATCACTTGACATTTGAGGGATTTATGATACTTAGTTTGCAATTCTCATCATGGTAAGTGCTACTTACCTCAATGGAGTATGCACTTCCAAGAAGGAAGCTGACAACTAAAGCACACATCAGTGGCACGGATCCGGAACGTATTCCGATGCTAAAGCTCTGGAAACAACAAAACGTAAGTATTTAGACATGAAGCCATTTTTTTCACACTAGAGCAACATTTTATTGAACCTAATATACCATGATCAGGAATGTGACTACTAAACATACTCCAGTTGCTACTGAAAATTCCCCAGTTGCCAATGGAAGACCTGGCTTGTTGATCTCCAAAACAGATTATAATTTAGTCTAAATGATTCTACAGTATGAATAATTAAGAAGGTACATTTTCTTTTTCAAATCACAAGGGAAAAAAATACTACCTTGTCAATCTGAATGTCATATAGCTGATTCAGCCCTACCACATAAATGTTCATACATAAAGCAGCAGTCAAAGCCTGCGCACAAAGAGAAAATTCAGAAATTTATTGAGGCTGGACGGTGTAAGAAATTCTTATGAAAATGACTACGTATATTGCCAATTGCCAAAGCATATTACTCATAAGAGATACAAATCTATAATACCTCGAGATATCCTTTTAGTACCGTTGCAGTAAAATCATCTAGGCTCTTCATTGGCAGGAGAGACACTGAAGTTATGCCTATGATCTAACAATACCATCCACATAAGAAATAGCGCATCGGGCAGTGTGCATCAAAACTACATGTGTAAACTCGAACCAAAGATGCCAGAGCTCACTGTGCCAAAGATTGTGTGTGGTCTGCAGAACTGGTAAAAAGCACGCAATTTCTTCGAAACTTCTTGGCTGATTTCCTCAAACCGATTCACGTCGTAACCATGTTGATCGCGATTAACCTCGCTGCATCCAGCTTGGAGGGCTGACTGATCATCGCTGCACTGCCTCCTTGTGTTTCTTCAAGGGCTAGTAGCTTGAGAAATGGCACTGAATCTATGCGTGACAGTAGCAGCACTGCTGTTAAGAAGCAAACCAACAGAGATTAGCAACGTGCATGCCAATCAACGAGAGGTCAGCGTCACACCAAAGATGATTTACTTGCCTTTGGCACTGGCCTGCAAAAGCTTCCACTGCAAATCGACCTGAAATTTGCAAAATGGACGACACAACAGTTAATGAATTGGGGAGGAAAAAAAAACAGACTTGATAAGTTCCATTTCAGTAAGAAATATGAATATTCCAACACTTGTATCAACAGAAAATCTCTTTTATGCTGTTAGTCTGTTGTAAAAAGAATACTAATTGAAGACATTGCATATTCCAGTTCCTCTATATTTAGAGAGAAATATTGTGTTCATAGCACCCATTTTAAAGCCCGTCCTCTCTTCTATAGCAACACATATCCCTCTGAAGAAGAAAACATAACAGCACACAATTTTCTCAATTATGCAATCTCTGAATCCATATCCGCGGTTCAGAGCTTCGATTCGTCCCCCTCATTCCCCAGTTCTCCATTTCCTGTCTGGAATCGTTGATTTGTACCTAAACAAGATAAAACAACAGCAGGGAAATCATCAATCAATCAAGATACAGAAGGGACGTATACCTGGCCAGGATAATTTCGTCGTCGTTCCCGGCCGAGCCCTACATCTGGGCCCTCTCCTCGTATCTGCACCACATACACAAGACGGAGCGGCGGATGCCGAGTCAAGATAAAAACCCTCAATCCGAACCAAATCAAATCAAATCTATCCAACCCTCAGTTCGGAAAACAAATCTAACAAAAGGACCCGAACGAGATCTCTCGGGGACACGGAAGAATCAATATACTGATCGGAGAGACGTGATTGCCTGTTAGCAGCTGCGCCGCCGCCGCCGCCGCCGTGGTGGCTTGCATCCTCGCCGGGCGGCCTCCGGAGGAGAAAATCGGCCTGCGGATCTGTGTGAAAGGAGCAGATGGGACGGTGGGGTTCAGGAGGAGGAGGAGTAGGAGGGGGTTTATGAGCCGATTGATTACTGCATGGCGTGGCGTGCGTGCGTGCGTAATGTAATCCGGCAGCATGCAGGCGGATGCGCCGTGCGATTTCTAAAAAAAGGGGGCGGACGCGCCATGGGATTCTTCTAAAGAAAAAGACGGACGCGCCATGTGTGCTAGCTGGTGATGCATGGTACAGTGCGGTGGACTCGCTGCCGGTGTGACGCACAGACGTTTTGGCGAAATTGACTTGCCAAAACGATACAATCCTCGGTGGGTGAGGTGCGGTGGAGCGAGCCATGCGTCCTCTCGTGCGTGTCAGCGTGTGTTGGCCTGTCACGACCCGGTCGTGGAATGGATCGAGATCGGACAAATCACATGAGTACCTTGTAGTTTTGGATAATTTGAGGAGAATCGATCGGAGTGGGGGACCGGAGGAGCTCAAGAAAAGAGAACAAAAGGTGACAAAAGCTTCAGAGTTCATTCATCTGCGTCATGAATTGTCCCTTATTATTATTTTTTGAAACTCACAAAGCCACATTAAATCGGAAATGATAAGTATCTAACGTCAGGTACAAGCACATGGCAAATCAAACGCTCTCTATGACAATTCTAGTGACGCAGAGATGACAAGTTAGTTGACATACACGGCAATTTCTGTCGAAAAATAAACTGAAGCACGAAGTTTCCATGCTTGCCAACTAAATTTGTCATCATCGCGTCATTAAACTCATCATCATAAACGTACACAGGGATGAAATCAAGGGTTCCGGGTTGGCCTAGTTAACCAAACATGGCGGCTAACCCCCAACGCTAATACATGCTTTGCAAGATTATGTGCCTCCATATTCGAGGTCCTAAACTCGTATTTAAAAACAGAAGAAAGAAATAACGATGACCACTCTGTGATTTAATGTATCACAACTCCATAGCTTACTGAACTTCCACTTTTTGTCACTTCAATTATGGCTTTGCAATCTGAGGCCACCACCAACCTATGCACACAAAGATCCGAGGCTAGGGCAAGAGCTTCCCTAGTCGCCAATGCTTCAAGTATTGGTGGGTCATCGATATGTGCGAAGATCATACCCGATGCTCCCATAGAATTGCCCTCATGGTCAAGGCACACAGCACCCAGAGATCCAAAACCCCCATGGTTTGAAATTGTTGCATCGACGTTGATTTTCACATAATTCTCCAGGGGTGCCTGCCAACTGTTATGTCTGACAACCGGGGCGCTCACTCTCGACGGTTCTATTTTCTACAGAATCTAGATGTCTGACAAAAATAAGTTAACAAAACCATAAGTAGATGAAGGGCTTTGAAATATGTCTTCATGGATCGCTTTTCTCCTGGACCACCAGATTGCCTATAGTGTGACAACCATCCTTGTGAATTCGGTATGTGTAAGAGCATCGCTCAGGGCAAAGAGCTAGTGTTTTGCTTTCGGCTCGTGGTTCTGGCACATATGCTCCGCCATTGATTCAATCGAGAGAGTCCCAAATGCACATCGCCATATTGTAGTTAAGTAGGCTATGCCTCCAATCATCTCCGCTCCGCACAGTGCGCACGCCGGCGTGTGAGCCATTTTTCGGTGGTTTAGTAAGTCACTTGTGGGCAAAGATTGCTGAGCCAATCGCTAGGTGAAAACCTTGAGCATCGCTGGCACCCGCAGCCTCCAGATCATAGCTTAGTTGGTCTTTTCTTCTTCCCTGTTGGACGCCCCAGGGGCCTCGTTGGGCCACCCCTCCCGACATTCCTTCATTTTCATCATGAGCCGGTATGCCGAGTGTACTGAAAACCGACCCTTCTCATCCTCAGACCACGACTAGAAATCATCTAATTGTCTTGAACATAGAGGTATTTCCAATATGGCATCAACATCGAACGGTACAAAGACTTCTCTCACCAGGTCATGCTTCCAAGTGGCACTTGTCATATCAATTAGCTGGGATACAAACTGTGGCAGGTCCACGACCCTTGATGTAATAGGGCGCATCAGACCATCGAGCCCAAATATCTGTAGTAGTCCAGTCACCGATCCTCCTAACAATGCATTGTCTTAAAATTTCTCAGCAATCCAGAATTGCTCTCCCAATTTGAGATGGTTGTGACCCAAATTCCACATTCAAAAATTGTGAAGTAGGGAAATACTTCACCTTTAGTATCCTGGAACTCAGAGAAGACAGTTCAAGCAACAGTTCTCAATGCTTGGTTACACAACAAAGACATGTTAAAAACCTCTAGGTTCCGGAGCCCAACGTCTCCCAAATTCTTTGATGTGTCATCTCGTCCTATGCAACCCAACATGGTTTCCATTTGCCTTGTTTATTGTCCCGCCAAAACTGCCTGATAATAGATAAAATATTCCCGCACAATCCTCGCGGCAGACAAAAGCAAGACATAGAGTAGACCGGTATAGCCTGGGCAAGTGATTCTATAAGTACCTCCTTCCTGCCGCTGATAGCAACTTCTCCACCCATCCTTGTATTTTCTCCCACATACTGTCTCTCAAGTATCTGAAATTGCCATTCTTGGACTGACCTACATCAGTTGGCATCCCCAAGTACCAGTCCCTTGGAGTTTCATTCTGCACATTAAGAGATTTTTCCACAGTTTCCCTTAGTGATTGGGGACACCTTGTACTAAAAAAGATGGAGGATTTTTCATGATTCACCCTTTGACCCGAAGCTCCACAATAAGTATTGAGCAGGTTTGATACATCATTAGCACCTTGAACACTTGATTTGAAAAGCAACATGCTGTCATCAGCAAATAAGAGGTGGTTTACAGTCGGGGTTGTTGACGCCACCTTGGTCCCCCTAAGCACCAATGACCGAGAGCTGGATTTCAGGAGGCACAAGAGATCCTCTGATGCAATAAAAATGGTAAGGGGAAATAGGATCGGCTTGCTGAATTCCTCTTGTAGGTTTGCATTGTTCTAGTTTTTTCTCCATTGGAAAGAACTAAAAAAGACACTAAACTGACCATGCCCATAATAATCAATCCATACGAGAGCAAAACCAAGCTTACCATGATGGCCTGAAGATAAGACCGTTCAAGCATGTCATACGCTTGAAGGAAATATGCTCTAGAGGCAATAATAAAGTTATTATTTATTTCCTTAATTCATGATAAATGTTTATTATTCATGCTAGAATTGTATTAACGGAAAACTTAGTACATGTGTGAATACATAGACAAAACATATAGTCCCTAGTATGCCTCTACTTGACTAGCTCGTTAATTAAAGATGGTTAAGTTTCCTAACCATAGACATGTGTTGTCATTTGATGAATGGGATCACATCATTAGGAGAATGATGTGATGGACATGACCCATCCGTTAGCTTAGCATTATGATCGGGTTAGTTTCATTGCTACTGCTTTCTTCATGACTTATACAAGTTCCTCAGACTATGAGATTATGCAACTCCCGAATACCGGAGGAACACTTTGTGTGCTACCAAACGTCACAACATAAAAGGGTGATTATAAATGTGCTCTACAGGTGTCTCCGAAGGTGTTTGTTGGGTTGGCATAGATCGAGATTAGGATTTGTCACTCCGTGTTTTGGAGAGGTATCTCTGGGCCCTCTCGGTAATACTCATCACTATAAGCCTTGCAAGAATTGTGACTAATGAGTTAGTTGCGGGATGAAGTATTACGGAACGAGTAAAGAGA